TGCGATAGTCATATTTGCGTTGCGATAGTCAAATGAATGTGTAATAAGTGATAACAACTGAACAAATCATAGCAATGTTCAAACTCAAGTTACTAATAATATACATGGGCCTAACTGAAAATGTTAAATGTTTACACATAAAATACACATAATACAACGTTTGCATTTAAAAATCACCTAAGTTAATAGTCCCAAAAGGTGAAGTCGGTTGTGATTGGGATTTTGATTTTGATTGCGATTTTGATTGCCTTTTGCTTGACACCATATGAGCTTTGGATTTTGATGATGATCCATATTTTGGTACAGGAAAAGATGATTGTGATGGCACTGGTGATCCACATGTCAACCTTGTATGACCACTTTCCTTGCACCGACTACATATCGATCTCTTCTTCTCTTCACCCTTAGACGGTATATGATCGTGACTTTTTGGTCGGCCAGGTAGCCTTCTGTCCATGGCTGGTGGCAAAACTGTTTGTAAGTCATCTAGTATGTCCCACTCAGAAGGATGTGGAATAGGGTAGATAATCTCGACATAAGTCTGTCGATATACTTCTGTAGTGTAGCAATCCATAGCATATGCGCTTGAATCATCTTGGTTTAGATGAAGAGCAACTTTTATAACATGGCCACACGGATAACCAGATGTTTGCCATTTCATACAACTACACGTCTTTGCATTTAGATCGACAAGCCCATTTAAGTTATTATCCAGTACTTCAAATAAAGTGTTTGAACATGGTTCAACTCTCCATGACGTTGACTTCACAACACATTTCGTTATCTTTTTTTCAGTCCATGGTGTAACACGATGTTCCAATGTTCCTGTAAATTTAAATAAATAATACTTAGTAAATTATATGATAAGTTACGAATTTAAAGAAATAATACATGCATGGTTTCTTTTCTTGTAGTACCACTGTTGAATAGAGGCTCAAAAAAACTCTATTAACATAGTAATGGGTAATTTTTGGGAATGACGACTTAGAGCGTTGATTGATTCTGCACTATTAGACATCATGAAACCATATCTTGCTCCAAGTTGATGTACTCTTGACCATCTTTCAAACCCGACATCTTCTAGTGTTTGAGCACACTGAGGCAAAATACGTCTTAAATAATTTATATGCTTATTAAAATCTACTTCCCGATAAGCTTTTACAGCCTTCCAGTATGTCCATTTGTGATTTTTTATACCAGCAGACCTTGATTTTAGATTTCTATACAAATAAACACCACAAAGTCCATAAAAAACATCTGGGAAACACCTTCTAACAGCGTTGTCAATTGAGTTTGCCCTATCGGATATGATTGTCAGATTGCTAATAGGACCTATGCAATCCCTAAGATGCCCCATAAACCATGTCCATGAATCAGAGGTTTCAGATTTTCCAACCCCGTAAGCTATTGGCAATATCCCATTTTTAGCATCCATGACTACTGCTAATAAGTTTACTCTAAGGTATCGACCTTTCAAATGTGCTCCGTTAACTATAATAACTGGGCGCATGCAAGTAATAAAAGAACGAATCTACAAAATAATATACACAAAAAATATAATCATTTAAATATGAAATGCATGTAACTAACAAAAATGAGTCAACAAAATTATATTGATTTACTAACCGCAGTACCAATGGCGATAAACAATAACTCAAAGCGTCCATCTCTATCTGTTTTGATATGAGTTACCGACCCAGGATTTTTCAGCTTTAAATTGTGACAATAAGCTGGCAGTTGGGCAAACGATGCTTCTGGCGACCCCCTCAACAATTCCAAGGCATAACATTTGGCTCTCCAAGCTTGAGAATATGAGATACTAATCTTGAACCGAGCATTCATGTCAGTCATAATTTCATGTCCCCGATATACCCTGCCATTCAAAAACATTAACTCAGCCAGAAAACCACCCAACAACTTTTTGTTTGCCTGTCTATGGTGAGGAAAAACTTGGGTTCTTGAACATGTATGTTTATCAATAAAATTCCTAACTTGAAACATTTCACAATCTTTTATCCCCTTTGCAATCATACGCCACGTACAGTTTTTATCAATCATACACCTTGTTTTGAAACGATCTTTGCTTGATTTGTTAACTTTTAGTTGATAGCCATCTTCCACACATTTCGTATACAAAGCTATCTTCAAGTCTTCCTTTGTATCAAAACAATCATCTTTCTTGATACGAATAATTTTTGTGTAAGAATCAACTGCTATCTTTACCAACTCTTCTTTCGGTATCTGAAGTAATTCTGGCATATTCCAGTTATACTCCCGTGGCATTTTCTTTGGGGACTTTTCTTCGGGGATTTCTTCTTCTTCTTTTTCTTCTTCAGGGTTATATGAATTACAGAATGGATGTTCAACATGTTCATTCACAGTCGTAACTTCCTCCTCATTATTATCAACAACATCTTCCTCGACAGCGGCTGTTTCATCATCAAAATTCGGGTATTGACCAATATCAAAATCATTACACGCAGAGTCTGTTTCTTCTTCTGAAACATCATCGAATACTGACTAGTACTAAAAAAATTTTCTGTTGGCTCATCATCGTCTAACTGGTCAATACAAAAACCGGAATTTGGTGCTGAAAGTTGATTGAGATTTGGATTAGGGAAAGGTTGTGGGTTTTGAGATTGTGTTTGGTATTGGAAATGTGGTGAAACAACATTTGCTTGGTGATGAAATTGTGGTGGAACCATTAAATTTTGAGCACCATAAACTGGGGTTGAAAAACTTAGTTGATTACTACCCGCTACTGACCCAACTTCCCTACTTCTAGGTTCAACAACATACAATGTAACATCATCTTGCGAAACACTAATGTAAGCAATGAATCGTTCAACATCTTCATTGTCGGTTAACAAATAAACTTTACCTTTTCTCTGATAAGATAGCCTAAATCCACTTAGAGGCTCTAAATTCAATTTATTTGCAACACGTAACATTAGAGTTTCATAAGTTAACTTTTTTAATGACAGTTTTAGTTGAAGATTCATGGGTAAAGGCATATATTGTAAAACACTATGAACATTCTCCCATGACCCTCCAAAACACAAATCTATCCAAACATGATCAACATTAGATGATTTCATTATTTTAAATTAATTTACTAAACAAACGAGCTGTGAAACTAAAACCTGTTGCCGGATGGGGAAGGATGTCGTTGGATATAGGAACGGATGTCGCCGGAGAGAGTGATAGATGGAGATGGAATGAGTTGCGATTTAGGGATTTAGGTTATGAGTTGATGCTGCTGTGTAGTAGTTATATACCCATTTGTGTTGCGAAACTAAAACCTATTGCGAATTTGAAATTCAGTGATGAGATAGTCAGAATCGCGTTGCAATCACGTATTATCGCGTTGCGATAGTCAGAATCTCGTTGCGATAGTCAGAATCGCGTTATGATCACGTATTATCGCGTTGCGATAGTCAGAATCGCGTTGCGATCACGTATTACCGCGTTGCGATAGTTAGAATCTCGTTGCGATAGTCAAAATCGCGTTGCGATCACGTATTATCGCGTTGCGATAGTCAGAATCGCATTGCGATCACGTGTTATCGCGTTGCGATTTACATATTCGCATTGCGATTATCTAAAATTGCAACGCGGATTTCAAAAATCACAATGCGAAGGTCAAAATCGCGTTGCGAATCTGGAAACTGAATTGCGATAATGGAGATCGCGTTGCGATTTAGAGATCGCATTGCAATTTTGTTGGTTATTTTGGCAAATCGTAAAAAAGTTGGTTAAAATCGTATATTATAAGGAATTTTCGGTCACTGAGGTTATTTTCTCTTTTTTTAATTTTAAAAGTTCATAAATTGAACTATTAATTTTTCAGAGGGGTCAAAAGTAATTTTTAATGTTAATTTTTTTACGAGAGAGTTATTCTTATAACAGGTCTTGCTTGTACAATTAGATTCTAATTAATTGGTTAATAAATCGGAAATTGATATTTCAAATATATATATATATATATATATATATATATATATATATATATATATATACTACATGTAATTTATAGATTTTGATTTTCTGTTATAAATCAAATATGCACAATATATGGTTCTGTGAAACTTGTATGATATTATGTGCACATGATAAGTATGCCTACACATAATCTGTATCTATGTTATAACATGTACCATGCATCTTGGATAGTTTTATGAGCATGCTATGCATTTTGTATATTAACCGTGTTGCCTCACATTGTGTATGCGGATTGTATGAGCATGTTATGTTCTCATTTCGACTCCTATTGTTATACGGATTTCGGTCCCTAATGTTTGGAGAAATAAGTTAATACCGAGTTTCAAAAACTCTACCCATAGATATTAACACATGGATGAATAGTTCTTGCTTGTTCTATAGATTGATTCTTGTATGTAACATGTTCTCCGGTTAAATTATCGTTTTTAGCTTGTTCTCTTGTTCTATATCAAACTTTATAGCTCATTCCTTGATTTCTGTCTTTCTCTCAAGATGATTTAAATTCTAAGTTTGAATTCAACCTCGATTTAAGAGTTTCATTTTTTTTAACTCAGTTTTAAAGTAATACATCTTTTTTAATCACGACAAATAATTTGATTGATATTATTTAGATAGTTAAGTGACATGATTGGTTAAATTACAACCTCCCTCGTAATTAAGTGATCATTCATGTAGTTTATCCTTAGTTGGACTAAATGTTGAATTTAATCAAGTGGGATCAAGTCTCCTTGTCAGAGCTGTTTCATATGATATTTAACAATGCTGTTGTAGATGAAAGCTTGTCAAGTTTGGGAGGTCTCTTGACATAAATGATCATGTTCATACAGACCTCACCAACATCGACACTATTATTTCTTGGAAAGACTGCCCACCAATATCTAGACTTGTGTACATATAAAATTCATAAATCACATAAGCACGTTTCTGCTTATTTCCTTCAAATTAACGCCAGCATAAACCCAATAGGAAAAGAAGCAAGGAACATAAAAAATCGACAGGTTGCTGTGGTGTAATGGTTATCACGTCAGTCTTACACACTGAAGGCTCCCAGTTCAATCCTGGGCAGCAATTTTTTTAATTTTGAAATTATTTTGCTTCCTACTAAGTTGGAAATTTACATTGAGCTCAATTTAATGAACGTGACATTAATCTTGGGGAATATTTGTTTCATCTTGCGTAGGAGAGATGACCTCGATTACCGTGGTCGACAGTTATTCGGGCAGATTAGTTGATACCATTGCGAAGACTAATATACGTTGATGTTTGATCTTTATCGGATCGTTTGATGTTAAAGATGTATTGGATAGATGCTCTCTCTTGTCAAATTGTTCCTTGAATGGTGAAAGGGCGAAACTACTGATTTTGTTGTTGAAGTGGTATCCATTTGTTAATAGTTTGAGTTGCGTGTCTCATGATGTTTTATTGATTTTGGTCGTGTCGGTAAGACGGTAACTCTTCTGTAATCACTTACTGTTGAGTATCGACAACAGTTTCAGTTGATGTTTTGCCTAAAGTCGGGATGTGGTGTCGATGTTTCTGCTCTTGAGGTTATTTCTGAGACGGGATAGATTGAATATCAGTTTTCAACATTGAATTCATTCTACAGAATGCACATTGTCTGTGGAATCCTGATTGCTTAAGGTTATTGCAGTTTCCAGATTAAATTTTGCAGACAGATACTGTTATGACCCAAGAGCAGTCCATGCCAACTCAGCACGCACATCAATCATTGCCAAGTCAGCAAATGGTGAGGAAGAATACACGTAAGAAAGGGCATTCCAAAATCGATTCGTTTGGTGGTTACATTAGCTGGCTATTAAAGGCAATAGAAGATAGAAGGAAAGGATGGAAAATATTGTTGAAATCTGTTATCCTCTTTCCTCTCTAATTCTCTCTCGTCTTCTCTGTGTTTCTTCTATCCTATCTCCCTTCTATCTTCTTCTTAGTTACTGTAATTTTCTTGTTATTCAGTGAAAATACAGGTTTATCATCTTCAATTCATATCAGTGTGTTCTTGAGTTCACAACATTGGTGCTTTCGTTGAGAGATTGAGCTATGATGAATGAAACAGAGGCCATTAAAAGTTTGCAGGAGACTGTCGCTCGCCACGAACAACTATTGGGTTCTCTTGAAGCTCATGCTGAGGAGCAGAAGCAAGTAAACGAAAAGACCCATCAAATTCTTCAGGATGTAATGCGTCAAATAACTGCAATCTCAATGCAGTTGGGGCTGACGTTCAATGAACACCCTGAAATCGATGGATCTGAGAAAGTTGAGGCTAAACAAAATGACTTAAGCATAAATGCTCACTACATGTTCGACGATTTGCCAACACCAAAGAAATCTGGCGTTGAAGACCAAACAAATCGAAACAGTGAGAAAATTGATTTTCCAAGTGATATAACGGGAATCATAGGTTCATCTAAACCTGTGGAAACAACAGAAATTCCGATTGAAGATCAGAATATTAAATTACAATAGCAGTTACCAAATGAGATGGGGAACCTACATGTGAGGAGCATCCAAAATCATGTCAATGGCAGTAAGTGTGGAAACCATCACTTTGAATTAAGTTTTCATATCGTTAGGTATCTAAGATTAAATTCTTGGATGTTGTGTGCATCGTATGTTCCTGACAATGGATAAATTACAGCTTATGGGAGTTGCATATAAGAGATTATCTGTTAGGAATTTCATGTTTCTAATTGTTCATATTTGGGAAAAGTTTAGAGGGATTCATTCATGGGTGTTTCCACATATGAAGGTGCTGGTTAAGTTTAATGATCCTTCCAAGTTTAGGCTTCTGCTAATGGAAAAGTATATGCCTCAAATCATTAGAATTTTTGAATTCATTGCCGTCATTTTCATTTCTCAGTGGTTCTTCTTTTGGAGGCTTCATATTGATGTTTATGGAGATGGTGATCAAATCCTTAGCGCTATAATTAATTTTGTTAAAGCTGATGGACTTGTTAAACTTGCAAAACATATCGAGACAGTTGTTGAAGATCCGCAATATATCAACTATTTGTTAGCTTGGAATGAAGTGAATGCTCAAAGTGATACGTTTATTGGTAAACATTTACCGGCAATTGTTTTTCGAAGCAGTGGGGGACAAGCTTTATCAGGATATTGTTATTATGCTAACCTACCAAAGGACTTCGACAACTTCGGATGGATTAAGTATTTGATTGAAATGCAAAACAGGTTAGCACCGAGCAAAGATGGTATTAATCATGAGGCAAGTGTAACAAGCGATTTGGTTTTTGACAAATTACAACCAAACCGGCAGCTACCACTTTGCTTTCAGAGCAATCCGCAGTTAAGTCGAATGTACTTTGGGTCATTCGGTGGTCTTGAATGGATTGAAAGTGTTGGATATAAACTGGATGTGCGCACAACTTCAAGAATTTCCCATGTTCGTATGTTTTCTCTTAAGAAATGTGTGCGATCTATGGGTACGCAAATCATACCACTATTGATGTCAGAAACAATTGATGATAAATACAAACTGTTTCATTTTCTAGCACCATGGGAATTAATGATAAATGGAGTTCTGGAGCCTGAAGTGTTAGTTCAATGGGATGATCTATGTAATGAGACAACTAATTGGATGACTATGGAGGAGTTTCGGAAAGCAAATTTTACTTGGGACCTTGTGGACAAGGTCCTATTCAGAGATGGGAGTAATGTTATGCATCAGAATTGGAGAAATCATGAGAATATTGATCCAAATTTTGGAGGAGATAGATTGTTGATACAACGAGATACATTGTGGCTAGGATTAGAGTCAAATTTAACTCGAGAACAACAAAGAATGAAAATGCAAGTTGACCATAAGCGTCGAGATAATACCCTGCAAGTTGGTAGTTGGATGTTTTTATGCTTGCAATCATATTGTCAGAGGTCACTTTGGTTTCACAAGCAGCACGATATTGGACCCAATTATTTCAGACTCTACGACATTCTTCAAAGGATGAGTATTGGGACGTATAAGCCGGAGCTACATGCATCTCCTCGACTACATCGAGTTGTTCATGCAGCCATGCTTAAGCCATGTCATGACATTCTTCTACAACTGATCACTCCACAACCACGGTTGGAAAATTCAGGCTCAACATCTGCTTCGAACCTTGAGGACAAGGTTCTTTTCCAAGATGAGGGTATTGTTATGACCCAAGAGCAGTCCATGCCAACTCAGCACGCACATCAATCATTGCCAAGTCAGCAAATGGTGAGGAAGAATACACGTAAGAAAGGGCATTCCAAAATCGATTCGTTTGGTGGTTACATTAGCTGGCTATTAAAGGCAATAGAAGATAGAAGGAAAGGATGGAAAATATTGTTGAAATCTGTTATCCTCTTTCCTCTCTAATTCTCTCTCGTCTTCTATGTGTTTCTTCTATCCTATCTCCCTTCTATCTTCTTCTTAGTTACTGTAATTTTCTTGTTATTCAGTGAAAATACAGGTTTATCATCTTTAATTCATATCAGTGTGTTCTTGAGTTCACAACAGATACATAATGTAAATTTCTGCTTCCATGGCTTAACACAGGACGGGAACAATATCTAGACTTGTAGATGTATGCATAAAAAATTCATTAACCACGAAACCATGTTTCTACTATATTTCCTTCAAACTAACACCAACAAAAAGCTACTATAAACATTGCATGTGTGACATTTTGCTTTTTGATTCTACTGCTTAACATATTTTATACAATAACATATTTAATTCGTTCGTATTTCTTTAGGTCATAAGTTTTATACCCACTAAGAAAATTTTCATTCATGTTGAATCAAAATAGAGTAAAAACTCTAATTGATTGAGAAGAAGAAAAACTCTCTTTAGAATAATCTCACAAAATTGCAAAAGGGAAGAACTCTTAAGAAAGTTTTTAAATATTTATAATTAAGCTTTGATTGCTGGATGATAAAACTCAAATACAATTAGGGTATTTATATGTTACAAGAAACAATCTAAACCACTCATTAAAATAAGCACTAAATAATCTAAACCATTGAAATTAAAACATGAGAAAAATACTTAATTTTCACCTAACCAAATTGATGTAAGCAATGACATCAAATTAATTTAGGTGTGAACTTATTTAGGCTAATATTGATTTTTCAACACTCCCCCTCAATGTTAGCCTCCATTCTTTGAATCACGCCATGCTGACGACGGAAATGTTCAAACTTTCCAACACTCAAGCTTTTTGTAAACAAGTCAGCAATTTGCTCATCTATCTTGATTTGCCTCATCTCAATCTCTTCTTGCAAAACTTTTTCCCTAACAAAGTGGTAATGTACTTCCACATGTTTAGTTCTTGCATGAAAAACAGGATTCTCCGCCAGCCGAATTGCCGATTGGTTGTCACAGTACAAAAGAATTGCATAATCTACTGGTTGATGTAGATTATTCATCAACTGTATCAACCATGAACTCTCTTGAGATGTCATTACTGTTGCTCGATACTCAGCTTCAGTGGTTGACAATGATATCGTTGGTTGTCTCTTGCTACACCAAGAAATTGTTCCGGAGCCAAGCTTAAACACATACCCAGTTGTTGATCTCCTGGTGTCATGATCTCCTGCATAATCAGTATCACAATAACCAACTAACTTGCAGTCTTCACCTTTCTTGTACAACAGACCATAGACAATTGTAGTCTTCACACATCTCAGTATTCGTCGAACTGCTTCCAAATGAGGCTTCTTTGGATTTTGCATATATCGACTCATCACACCAACTGCATAAGAAATGTCAGGTCGGGTCAAAGTTAAGTAGATCAGACTACATACCAATTGTCGATACATTGTTGCATCTTCCAAATCTTTTCCTTCATGTGCACACATTTTGACATTTGGTTCCATTGGCGTTGAAGTTAACTTGTATTCGAGCATTCCAAACCCATTTAACAAATTTTTAGCATATTTCCGTTGACACAGAAATATTTCTTCGTGTGTGCGATCAACCTCTAGACTAAGGAAGTGCTTAAGTTGTCCAAGTTCCTTCATCTGGAAACGAACTGATAAATTCTCCTTTGTCTGAAGAATTTCTGCCTCATCAT